CAAGGCTGTCCTTTAAGACTAATTTACGAAGCACAGTTAGCAGTTTGACCAGATTATAGTTCTGGCTCATAAAAGGATGATTTTCAAGTTCCCTAAATATGTTGTTGCGAAAAACGCAGTTAACAATTGAGTACACAAATGTATAATAATTATTATCAGATTGGTTTAGAATAATATATGAAGTTCTGAAGGGAATTCCACAGAAGACTCAAAGTTCGCTTTGCCTCAACCGATCACTCAGGCGCATGTGCTGCCCCCAAACGCAAAAGGGCAACGTCACGGACACAAAATGGGATTCGGCAAGTGGGACAAGGAACTCGGCCTGACAGCCATTCCTCTGGTGGTCGATGAGTTTCCGTTTGCCGTGAAGCAAACCACCGAGCCAGGCAGGATACACACCACATGGGTCGGCATTGACATACACCGCAGTAGATCTGGTTAGAGGAGGTAGGAGGTATGAGCGGCTCAGGGAGGCGAAATAACGCTGAAAATGCAATTCATAAGTTAAGATGATAAAAATCAATTTAGCATTCGCATGCTAGTTTATTAAGACCAAGAAGTTTATCAAAAAACGAAAAATAAAAACACAATTTATCAAGAGCTGAAAGTAATTTTTTAGTGCCTAGGAGTAATTATTCTTTGACAGACACAATATAATACTTTAAAATGCAGTCAAGATGAGAACACAGTTTTAGTATGCATGAAACGGTAGAATAGTTTTATTGTTCGTCAGCCCTAGAATTTGAAAATTAAGGACAAAATTAAGGGACATAAATTCACAACAAAATTATTAAAAACGAAACGAGAATAAACAAGGATTAATGCCAAAAACTCGAGATGCAAGATGTAACTACAGAAGTGCGGAGATATAGAATCGAATAGAGAACAGAGAAGCGGCGCTTAGTATCGTCATAATCCAGAGAAAGTCCCGTATAAAATCGATTCATAAATTATTTATTCTTAATAAATATGAGATTTATTCACCCTATTTTGTTTAAGGTGATGAAGGACTGGTAGTAGAATTTTCCCATAATGATATGAGTAGATCTGACGTTTCCATTTAATTTCACATAGCCTTGCTTTTACAAAAATTGTTCTCATCCAGGATGGACTGTAATTTTGATCTTGCTTAGGTCTTATCAACACCCCCAGCGGAAGTCGGACCGTGGCAGTGTGAGCTTGATACGTTAAATACTGAGCCACAATTCAAGGAGATGTCAATTTTAAGGAAGGCCAGGCCTTTTACCATATCACATTCTTCGGATGGATTGTCGATGAAGTAGACGTATGTTTGCTATAACAATGGGCTGCAGTACTTATTTTCGTATATAAGCAGAGTTTCGAGACGACCAGTAAGTCAGTTATATGAGATGTATTCACTCTGTTTCGTTTAAGGTGATGAAGGAACACAAAAGAATGTGATATGCGTAAAGGTCTGACCTTATCTAAATTGAAGAACGTAAGCTAGTGTCAGGATTATGAGTGATTTGTGTGCGACAAGATAAATCTTATGGTAAGTAGTTCAAGCTTAGTGAAGCGAGGTTAGGCAGAGGTAAAAAGATATAGTTGGGCTGAGTCAAAATGAAGGCAAAGTCGTACAAAATGCAGGAACGGGGGAATGTGTAAATCGCCCTTAGTCACAAGGATTCTAATGGTATGTAGTAGAAAGGAAAGTTTTGATTAAGAGTATATGCTAGCAAGTTTATTCCAGATTCGATTGTTAGATTAAGTGAAAATAATGTAATTTATAAAAGACTGTATTAAGCTAATTAAAAATGTTTAACTCGTTTAAAGTTCATTAAGAGGTCTTGATGTTTAATTGTTAATACAAAAAAAATAACCGAATAGAATAAAAACCTCAAGGTACAAAAAATTTGTGTATGACCATTTAACTAAAATCCATATCAACCGATGGTCATCTAGCCGCACTGTAATTCCCTGAATTAATAAACTTATTAGTACTGCATAGGACTTATCCCTCAAAACCTTA